ATAACCTACGTCAGATATACCAGTCAGTTAATACATTAAATTCTCTAGCAATATTCCTTAGAAAAAAAGGTTAAATACAGCTAAATTAAAATAAAAATATTTAAGAATAAAAACTTTCCTGTATGGATTTGTAGTGTACTGAGGAAACGCGTATGTGGCCAACAGTTCCTTCATTAGCAGAAACACAGTCATTAAGTGGATAAAAATGACAGGAAACAGCTGCCTGTCTCTGGCAACTCTCTTTGTTCATCATAAACAAAAGCAAGAAACCTCCAATTACCTTTAGACAGAGGAAAGGAGGTAGAGAAAATCATATTAGCTGGGAACTGATGAGGCTGGGCACATTAGCACTTCAGGACAGCTAAGGAAGCAAGCTAGTACTATAGTGAGGTACTCTCAAAGAGCAACTCTTTTTTTCCTGTGGAGACAAGCAGTCTGGTAACAACATAATGAGAAAGAACCTAGCACAAACAGCAGGAAAAGCTGTCGTTATGAAGGCTAATTACAGCTTCCCAAATGCAATTCCGAGATGGTAGCTTTTTAGAGGGCACAGACACAGAGAAAGCCAAAAAGACTTGAAGCATCTTTTGCTTAAATGAAAGGCCAATACTTTGTCCACCTCTTCTTTGCTACTCACTTGTCAAGCACAACCATCTCTCATCAAAACACAACTGAAGGCAAACAGTCTACCCACCTGCAATTTGAGCACTGCCAGCATTATGCATTTACCACCACTCAGCCTGGACCACTAAACAATCAGCAGGTTTGCCTGCTTTTCCACAGTTTAGCCAGAGAAAATTCTGCAAGTGCCATGCTAAGAACAGAGCAGTTCAACATCACACAGATGGGTGCTAATTGCTTTTGCAACCTTCAGCTTCTACCCAGCATTAGGCCCACAGCTAGGAAGGACACTAGCAAATTGGAAAGGCAAAAAAACAGTACTACGGATCAGAATGGATGAAGGAAACGAAGCTTACCCTGAAGAAAGAAGATGAGAAAATAGACAAAGTACAGAGATGAGTCCTGGAGAAGATGACCTGAATTACAGCAGTTCATGGGGCGGTACCCTCGGAGGGTCACCCTCCAAGTACATAATTAGTGCCAGGCCTGAGAAAAAAAACACTGTTACTAAGTTAATGCAGGCAAGGGGAGAGGGGGGAGCTTGGGAATTGGGTGGAGAGGGCAGAGAGGGTACATTTTCTTTCTTAATATAGAAGGAGCAATGACGGAAGAAGCAGACTTTCCTCACCCATGGCCAAATCCTGATGAAAACCAAGAGAAGCCACTGTAGAGATCAACTCAGAAGATCACTGATGCTTTGGTAGAGTGGTAAAGCCTGAACAGTGCAGATAGCTTCCAAGGAAAAGCAATTGTTCTTTAAAAGGTGAAGAACAAAGGGTTTCCCCACACACCTCTCTTCCCCTCACCCCATCCGCCCATATAAAGTGTAAACATTCAACACCAATACACTGAATTCTGGCTACCCTTTGTGTTTCAGAACAAGCCACATTTATGCTAATCTACATAGAATAATATTATTCCCATTATGCAGTATATCATCTGTAAAAATGAAACAAAATACAAAATTAAAATGGATGGAAGATTAACAAAAAAGGGATTAAGATCTAAATTGTTAAGATTTACTCTAAAATGTCATTTTATTCTAGAACTACATATATAACACTGTATTTGAAAACTTTGTTCTTCACTTTTAAGCCATGCTATACTGAAGAGCCCTGTAGCTTGAGTTAGGCTGTGCCGTCACATCAAAGTACACCTGGAAGGAAGCAGCAGATGTGGGAGGGGGAGAAAGAAGTGTCTAACCTGGAGAATCCAGAAACTATTCCACTGAAGAGGAAAGAAAGACAAGTTAGATGAAGTGGGGTTGGGGAAACATTGAAACACACCAACTGTGAAGAAAAGACTAGAAACAGACTTTGCTTGTAAACCAGAACACTAACAGCTACCCTAACACTTCACCACAGTTAATGAAGACTCATAATTACCTTAGTTAAAATGACCATATCTCCATACTATATATATACACATACATATATTTACACCAAAGATGTTGAATGATAAATCATGCTAGTATATCCCAACTGCTTTAAGCAGAAGCTAAATAAATGTCTGTTTAAGAATACAATTTTAAGGTCAACAAGCCATAAAAATTACAGGCTCAGAAGTTGCTAGCATCAAAATATTGAATGTTTAGGAGGACAAAAAAGTTCCAGAGGAGAACTAGTTATACACAGTTAATTACAGTTTAATGTAGCTATGTGTTAAAATGTGCCTGTGTTTTAAAAGAGAACAAAACCAGAAAGCACACACTTACTGTGTCTATGCTACTCCTGAAAACTTCACAACTCGTTATTACTAACAAGTAAATCAAAGCACCTCCACCTACAGAGCACCTTGCACACAAAACTACGCTGAAGTTATAAAAGGCCTTACAACACACACAGACAAGCACTGTTTCATGACTTAACTCTGTGAAGGCTACTTTCTTTTTCTGCTTCCTTGCTCTTGCTACTTGGACTCCTCCAACCTGATGCACTGCCGTGCAGTTCCTCAACCTAAGGTAAACTGTTGAAATGGGAACCTACTATGAAGCTAAAAAAACAAGATTAAACAAAAAAACACATTCAACCCACGAAAAACAGAATACAGTGGGAACTTACCACTTGCACTGTAGGGGATCAGAAAAAAAAATCATGGTCCTCAGTTCAAGCAATAAAGAGCTTTACTGGCAGCATACAGTTTGAGTAACTAAAATTACAGAAATACTTCTTAAAAGTTTTGACCAATAGCTGAATGGATCCTTCCTCCTCCAAAAGGAAAGCACTCTGAACTGAAGAAGCAGGTGAATGCCTACACATTAAAAACAAAGGCCTCAATATATTCATTTTCAATTGGGAAAGATGCTCATAGACATATATTTGTCATGCATTCTGAACAGATCCTATACCATTGCTCACATCATACAAAACAATCCAATTCTCCTTGCACAAGCAAAAATATGAGATGTGAACACTTCAGCAGTGAGTGCTGCAATTAAGCCTGTCTCATCATGAAGATAATCAGGGGCACAGTCTTTTTTCTCTGCTCTCCCTTCACTGGAATCCCTCCCACATAATTCTGGGAAGAAACTGTACCCTACCTTACAGAAAAAAGCAGTACCAAAGCTAAAGTCTGTTGCACTGTGAAGAAAATAATCACCTAAGCTAGAGCTACCTCACCATCCAGGACTTGTAATTAAGCAAGACAGCTCCCATTCAAGGACGGGAGTGATACTTGAATAGTGTTTCACTTTCCCATGGGTCCTTAAGGGAAACTGCCAAAATACTCAACATTTACACTGCAATAGCCTAAGGACAAGTCTCTGAAAACTCTGAAAATTCCCAACAGTTTTGACAAGCCTCTTTCCACCATAAGCCACCCATGTGCAACTGGCCCTTGCTCATGCATTATCTACTCAGTCATGATCTCATATCATGCTTCTGCCAGGTCTGTGATCTTCAGCCTTTCTGTGCTGTGCAACTCCAACCCTCTTCACGACTGTTCTCTGAAGGAAAAACTGTCTAATCCTCTGTCCAGCAGCCTCCATTTTTAATGACCCTGTTCTGGACTGCCATAATCCATATATATTAATCTTAAATTAAGCCCATTCAAGCATGCCCCTTCAATTGCATATTGTTATTGCAATACGGTAGGACTACTGGATTATCAGAAATATTAGGGTTTTTGTATACTTTTACACAGTCAACCACAGTATTTTCATATCAGATTGTTTTGCCATTAGTAAATTTTCCATACCAGGAATTCTGCTCAAAATTTAAGCTGCTGTGCTGTGCTATCCCACCACACCTATTCAGAACAAAATCTTAAGGAAAAACAAAACCCACCTGCTTCTAAGTAATGGCTAATAAGTTACACCAGTTCCTTCTCGCTTTCTGAGCTTCGGTTATGATCAAGTCACTAACTAGTAAGATGTAGTTTTCCTTAAAGGTGCAGCTGTTTTATCAACCTAATGCCTTAACTGCAAACAAGTTTAGTAACTCATATGTTGTCAGTTTCCAGGTGGTTTAAGAATGGGAAGGTGAACAGCAACACTCTGATGTGCCTGTGTTTCAAACACCAAGAGTGACATATTGTGAAAACTGGTTTCTAATTTGTAATAAGTACTGCAGGAAATAGACAAGAAACCCTGGGGAGCAGGAAATGGATCTCCTGCATGACACAGAAAGGCAGAAAGGAAACTGCCAGGTTCTCACTTCATTGTATTACTCAGTAAACAAGAGAGATGGTTGCAATCTAGCTGTGTTACAAGTCAAAGCAAAATATGAATATGGTACATCACATCTTTCCTCTGAAGCCTCTGACATTTTATTCCTTGACTACACTTTTGTGTACCAAACACTGATTCTTTAGATACAGTTGTGATGTAAATCCAGTCATTTTCCCCTCTGCAGTCAGGAACCCGGCTCAGTATGTTTTCAGGCACCCTGTATATTCCAGGCTTTATACCAATCTCAACCCTCCTGCTAGGTAACTAAAGAGATCACTTTACATTAGAAAAGCAGCAGCTGGGGAAGAGGTAAATTTAAGGTGCATGCAGTGGGAAACAATATGCCATACTTAATGCAAGATAAAATTTATTTATTTCAAATAAGAAAAAAAAAGGGGGGGGAAGGAAAAACATCAAGATGCACTAATTTTTCCTACATCAAAATATTAATGAAGGTTATTTTTTTAAGTGGTGCTCTTATTTCCAAGAGCACAGATTGCATTAGATAGGAAAAACCCTATACCATACAACTCCATTCACATACTTGTTAGACTTTAAAAACTGCCTTGGTATGTGGTACCTTACTATAAAACACATTATTAGGAACACTATTATAGAGAAAAGAATTGTTCTTATCTTGCTGTTTTAAGAAATTAATATGAAAAAAGAACATATTTAGCAAGCTAAAGTAATGTAAAATTTAAATACTTACTGCGTAGGAGCCTATGAGGAATGCAGCATTTGCTTGTTTTTTCTGATCAAAGCCAGTATAATGAATTATTTTCTTCCTTATCAATGAAAATGACTGTATCAAGAAATGAACAATATTATGATTTTGAATTTTTTACTTTTCATGCCTTCTCCTATAAAATTAGAGGAATGCAAGGGTCTGTTCAACTTTCAGCCACCTGCATACAGAGGATCAAGCAAACTGTAGTCTAAGCCCTCACAAGCTTTGAAAGAGTCTACTGCATCCCTAACTAGATTGTTCCAGTATTTTTCAAAGTATCCAGCCTAAATATTTTTTTAATACAAATTAATCTTTCTTTTCCTCCTTGATTCTATTTACTGTTTCTGTTATCCAGCCCCATGCAACAGATATGAGTAAATACAAAAACATCAGAGGTACGTTAAAGTCTAAACAGTTTTGAAAACTGAATTTAGACTTTTTTATTCTTAAAGATTTGACTATAGATAAACCAATTAGTAGGTTCTAAGGATTAGAATCACTGGAAAACACACGCTTAGGTAAAAAAATATTTTTAAGTATTTCTAAACTTTATCATAAATAACTTTAAAATGTCAACTCAACTTGCAATATAGTTTCTCTAATTATCTTCTCTAATTATCAACAGAAAAGACATCTGTGGTGGCAGCAAAAACTATCCTTTAACTGCCCTAGAAACAAATTCTGATGTGCTTCTAAGTGTATACTTGGATCAATTGTTAAGCTATCATAAAATGATACTATTTAAATAGCAATATTACTTGCTCAGATACTATTCAACGCACTCAAGACAAATAAACCCCAGATTACTATGTTCTCAGCAATCCTAACAGGCCACTCCAGTATCAAACCCAAGCTATTCAAAGGGACTGTAATACAGACTTCTGTTGCTTCATAGCTTTCTGTAAAGAAAAATCAGAAAATCTTGTTTCCAGCAAACCTATTCATAGTGCTACACAAGGACAAAGCAAGTCTGAGTTATGCAAGTACCAGTGAGACATCAAGGAATTAAAAAAAAACTAATCTTAAAAGTCTTTCTTAAAATATTATGTTGTGCATGCTTCCCAATTTTCACAGTTCAGTGGCAGTTTCAAGATCTAAGCAGTTTTGAAGAAGCAAACTGTGATTTGCATTAATGCTAATATGCTTTTTAATCTGCCTAACAAGTTCTATTCACCAACACCAGTTAGAGGTCAACTAACTTGAAGTCATTAATGTTAGTCAATACAGAAACTCTTTGTTTTAAAGACACTATACTATATCAAAAGCCCAATCCCCAAAATCACTGAGCACCCCTCACAGATGACAGAAGGAGCAGGCAGTCTCCTTCGGGACAATGCTATAAACACTATCAAAGATCACATGTTGCTTCTTACCGAAGAGATGTCACAACCAGAAGAGAAGCTCAGATTGAACAAAAACAATCTCAAATAAAAATCATACCCTCAAGCTGACTTGGCAGATTGCCAAGAAGACTTATTTAAATGAAAGCTCCTTTTCTGAAACTAAGTCTGTACTTCTTTAGCAAATATTTTTTTGAACTAACATTAGTTGCTGCCACAGTGTTGCATCTCTGGATATTAAAGGTAACTGGGTTTTCCCTCTTAATCCTTCTTCCCCGTAAATTCACCTTGATCTAATTCAGCATTTATATTCAAAATGCAGCTGGATTAGGAATCCAGGAAAACACCTCAAGAAAAACAACAACAAACTTTTGGCCCCATTTGATTTTGTTCTTTAAAAAGTCAAGAATCTTGAATTAAAACCCCACGTTACCTTTAATTTCTTATTTAGCTTGCAGCAGTATCTGTAGACCATTGCCAGATTGAGTGGTCCAAAGTCTGCATAGAAGCTGCAAGGAGAAAAGGGGAAAGATTGTACATGATCGCTGTAAATGTCCTTTATTTCTTTTTCAAATTAGATGCATCAAGCAAAGAATAAGAACACATACGTGCTATATGTGCATCATTCTAAAACCAAGAATGCCTTCTTACATACATACTATTTTGCTGGAGAAAAAAGTTTTGTCATCTTTTAACAGGGGCTACAACTTTTTTCTCTGTTTTCCACACACCACCAATGAAAATCCAACCAGAATACTCAGGGTTTGAAGAATTCTCACTACTGTATCAATCTGTGACACCAGTTTAGAAACTCTATTTGACGAGTAAGCCAAAAGTTTTACTTTAAAAGAAGGCCATTAATATTGCTTAAGAAAAGTGTACATGGAGAATACAGATTGATTAGTACTTTTAAAAACAGTAAGCATGCCCTTGGTCAAAAATATTGAAAGAATTAGCAGTATTTCAGATTACATACACAAAGGCATACATGGTTCTGTTCATTTCAAGGGAAATAATATATCCATTGTGAGCTCATAAAAGCTTGAATCAGTTTTGGCAGCTTTATTCTCTTATTCTAGGATGTTTAGACATTCCACTTAATACTTGAGCAATGAAAGACATGCCCTTAAGCTCAGCAGTCCAGTTTGAACTTGTGAATATATATTGTTGCATCATATTCCTGTGTCTTCAAACAAGAATGGGAACAAAGAAAGCTTCTGGTTTGAAAAGATTTTCAAGAAAACCTGACGGGAAGCCAAGGAACCATTCTAAGACATATAAATCACCATGGCAGATAAGTCTGAGAGGACCAAACTCATGTAATTAGTTCTATAATGGGAATGGTATGTTTCCCTCAGCAACACTGAAAAACAATATTAATTAGACTTCTTCCTCATTTTTGTTGTTCTGACTCATTTACTTCTGTAAAAGACAGGAAAATGCGAGTCTGTACTTACTTCTCATACACAAGTTCATCATCTATGCAGAAATAATGGGTATCTGCAGCTCCACTCTTTGGTTTTTGGCAGAGAATTGCAAAATAAAGGCGATCTGAAATGCAATAAAATTTAAAGCCTTTATAAACAACACACTTATCTCTTGAAAGGTTCTGTTGACAGGTAATACTTCAACAACTTTAAATGGTTTAAAATTAACCAAATATTCACCTAAGTTTTACTGAACTAGATATTGTTGTTGCTGTTGTTGTTGTTATTCTTATCTGGTGTAAGCAACAAGGCACACAATTATGACTGAGGCTTTTTGCTCAGCAATGTTCGCATAATCTCCATCTCTTCAGCGTACTTTCCCAAAAACAGGAAAGCTACCCATCTGACAGCTTTGCAATACAGCAGGAGCCCGACTTTCCCCCATGCACACAGCAGAGACCCACGTCCTTTTGGCAACAGACCCCACCTATTGAACTCCAAATACCACCACACACACACCCTTAACTAAGCCACAAATCCCCTAGCACCTCAAAGCACCTACGTTAAACTAAACAGCATAGCACGCACCACGAGAAAGGCACTTCCCATCTTTCTGTAAAATGACGATTTCAACAGCAGAGGTGTGCAACTAAAGGTTGCAGGCGACCGACGCCAGAGGGAAGAAAGGTGCCGAGGCAGCAGCCCACTGCCCATGACCGTAGCTGTCTCGTCAACATCCTTATCTACATCCTCATCCCCCCTCCGGCTGTCTCTTCAAAGCCTGTGCACGTGCATCCAGGCAGGAGGCGCCTTGTGCTTTCCCTAGCTTCCTCTGTTAAGCTGAGGGGGAAAAGGACCCAGTGATATTCACATAGATATAAATTATTTTTATAGTCAGGGAAGCTGTAGCCCCAACGAACTTTAAACACCGACTGTGTTGCTGCTGTAAATTCATGTGTTTGCAGTAATTGGGTAAAATTAAAACCTAAAAGGAAAGATTTTAGTTTTTGCAAACTAGTTGCCTGGAGCAGTTATATGATTTAAATATCAAAACAGATCACCTGCATACAAATGTACAATTTCAAAGCGTGATTTATGATAAAGAAAAACTGCACTCTTTTTTCACAGAACAATGGGGGAAAAAAACCAACACATGCCTTCATGCTTCAAACAAAATCTTCTATGACTTGCACTTTAAAATCATTATATCTTGAAAATAAGCAGTAAAGTATGCCATGAAAGGAGTCTCCACATCTGTATTTCATCACTCACATGCTCAGTGCTCACCTATGTACACCAATATCTTGGGCATTGGAGGCAGACTCCACAACCAAAAAGTGTACACTTGCTAAATGCACACTTCAATAGAACAGCAGTCTGATGTGAATGGCTTGGCTTGAACACTTACAGGCCAGGTGCAACCAGTGGGATGTACAGTAACTTCTGAGCAAGTTAGGCATCTACTTCCTTGCTCTCTCAGAAGAAGCAGAACACCAAACTTGCTTATTTAATTTCTAATAGTCTCATCTTGTAGGCACAGCATCTGCAGTACTAGCTGGGAAGTGAATTGCCTTCTGTACCTCCCAGAAATTACCAAAGCATGTCCTGAAAATGAGCCAAAGGATAAAATTTATAGTAATGCTGTGCATTTTTAAGAAGTGAGTAAACTGGCCCACAAAGGGAAATATGCATGGAGGAGGAAGTGCAGTGACACCGCAACTGGATGCAAAATATACTATGAGGAAAACTGCTTCACAGAAAGGCAGTCCTGAGAAAGAGCGTATGCCAACACTTTAGGAGTGGAGGGAGACACAGTTTCCCTCAACTCCCCTGCATCTGCCCCCACCACTGTGTTACTCTCTCTGCTGTGTCAAAGTATATTTGTGTGATTTAGAAATTCTAGCAGGTATCCTAGCACATTAAAAAAAAAAAAAAAGAAAGGAAAAAAAAAAGAAAAGAAAAAAAAAAGCTGCTCCACTGGTTTACTTCCCCTCTGTCCTGAGAACCAGAGCTAACGTGGGAGGAGAGCAAAAAGACAAAAAGGAGAACTAATAGGATATGGTATCTATGGATTGTGTTTAAACTGGCATTGTTAGATTAAACATGTCACACTACAGCCCCCAGCTATAATTTCACACCATTTTCATGGCTAGCTGCCACCAGGTTCCTTACAAGCAAAAGTCTCTTCTGAGTTAGCTCCCTGAAGCAGCCCATGGGGGTTAACAGATACACATTTGCCTCAATGGCATCTGTTCTTTACATCCAGTTGAATAACTGACTTAGACTGGGCACTCATATGATATCTGTGACATCCACATGGAAGTCTGGCTGTAGTACTCCAACTCACATGCTACCTTCTTGCACATCAGCTTCTGCACACACTTTACATCACTTCAGAAAACGCAGAAGTCCTCAAATACAAAAGGAGAATCAAAAGGGAAAGAAATACATTTGTACAGGTCAAAGACCTAAAATTTTGCTCCTAAACAGGATTTGGTGTAACAGAATCAGTTGCTTCCTCAGCGCTCCTACTTTTACTGAAAATCTTCTGCAGCTTTGGCAAAAACGTCCAACAAAAATAAGAATTCCTGTCTTGAGTGAACAGTGTATACATGGCCTTTTGAATCACTGTTGGCATTCAACTCTGCACTGCTATCTCTGGATAAAAGACCTGAAAGAAACTAAAGTTTAATCAATTCACAGAACTACCTCCACACTAAAGATAAGTGTGTGTCAAATGCCACCAACATCCTGACAAATTGTCCATTCCTCTGCACCACTAACAACTGCTTTCTATTATGTAAGAAGAAGGCTCCATCTCAACATGTTTCCTATACACAGATTTTAGATATGAGCTACACAGAGAAGTCCTTTCCTGTAAGTGTATTTACCTTTCTACCGGCTTACCAGTCTGATATTAAACAACTGCTGTATTACCCACCACATCTGGTTTTACCTGCTTTTTTTGTAAACATAATCCCAGCTCTATTTACATTAGTGAAGGATTAGTGCGTTGATTTTTGAATGGAAGTAACACATGCTGAGAAAGGAGAATTCCTTCTTTAAAAATCTGATTACAGGATGTGGGTTTATAGACAAAATACACCAGAGCACTAACGAACTGATTTCATTAGGACTCCACAAAGGTTTGGACTGCTGGTGCAAGGCTTTAATTTTATTATTTTTATGCTTCCTTGGCTAATTTTAGCTTTTTAGTATGCCATTTACATATAGTGAGCTTAAGCACTTCCAGATTCCTGCAAATTTCTGATAAAAGGTCACCCTAAAACTATCAAAGCAGAGCAGACCTTCGTCTCTCAGAAGAATGAGAGAATAAGGGCTCACTTCCTTACAGGCTGCATCTGCACTGCAATTAGGAGATATGACCACAGAATATTACATACACCTCAGTTATGCTTAATTCTGTTAGCCTCACTTGACAAAATAGCTAAAATACAGAAACTTGGGTGTCACTGCAGGCAATTAATTTGAGTAAGCACACAATGTACAACAAAATGAGCCTGCACACCCCTAACTGAAGACTATGTTAAAGCAGCTTGGCTACTGCACGAGCATAAACTAGTGAGACTGAAGCAAGTACAAGCATGTCTACACAAACTATAATAATCACACATTTGATTGTTGTGTGCATACAGGAGGAAAAGCATTTTGCTTGTTTTTCAGATCAATAGTCTTCTGTGGAAATAGATGTGTAGAAAACTGAGAGCTACTACTCCAAAATCATGTTAATGTGAATACAGAGATGACAAAACAATCTCCTTCCCTTTACTCTCATAAGCCTGATGTTTCTTGGGGTCTGCTGCATGGGCGTCAGAGAAAGAAATTTGAGTAATTCAACAGATAACTAAATACCAAACAGGCAGTTGCTGCACGATGCGTCTGCATATTATCAGCGAAAAATATTTCATAAAAAGAGAAATTAAACAGTTCTATTGTTAAACAGATGTCTTAGATGAGAAACTCGGAGGAGCACAACAAAATTGAACATTAGGCTGTTTTGAATGACCAGGAATGTAACCAAATAATTATTTACTATTGTAAGAGGGGTATAATTCTAGATGCAGAGCTGGTACATGGTATTTTGTTATATTTTAGGTATTTTTGTTGTATTTACAGAAAGACATATGAGAAAATATAAACGACAAGTTTTCTTGCAATGTCAAGAAAAAAAACCCAACAAAATAACGTAAGATTGTCTTTTTAGTAATTTTAACATTTAAAAGATTCATTTACTCATTATTATATTTCATATTTAAGTGATGATAGAGATGGCAATTAAAACAGCCTGGCCTCTGAAAAAGAAAATGAAAGCATACTAAAAGGCTGAAGAAACTTTTTATATAACAAAAAAACATGAAAAAAAATGTTTTCAGGGACATGCCACAATTGATCAACAACACTGTTACTGTACTCAGATATATCCCTTGTGTTCTGCTGCTCTTATCTGATACACAAGGCTACTTTACATATATTCGTGCACTTGCAGTGTTGGATTAAATAATAAAAGCCTTAAAACTGTTATTTAAAATCTTATCTTTGAGAAAGACACATACGTAAGTCATACTGATAAAAGAGTGCATACAACTTTTTTAGTAAGACAGCTATATAATGAAAACTAATTGGAAGTATTGAGAGTAAAATTGTTAGAAAGCTTAAAAATACTCAGGTGAAGTGCCCTTAGCAATAAATAATTTTAAAATAGAAGTTTTACACATAATACAAAAGGTTTATAATAACAATCCAGCAATACTGAAAAAACAAAAGACAACTCTATGGTATGAAAAAACCCAACAACACACCACCAAAAAAGCAACCCACCTATCAATGAACCTATTAAACCAAATACTGTTTCATAAAAACTCCAAATGACAGTGTAAGTAAGATGATTCTCAAAGAAAACCAAAGCATATACAGTACAGCACAGAGCATCCTTTAAGATGTTAGGTACCCACAGTAAACAAACTGGATATACATTTAGCAAAAGGACAAACAAATGTCAGGAAATGCCTCACAGTGTTATATCACATAAAATTTAATTCCCTGTATTGTTAATTCCATTGTAGTTACTCTAGAATTAACTACTGAAAAGAGGTGAGAGAGAAACACACACCTTCTGCCTGAGGTTTATGCATTATGATTCCACATCTTCTTTAAAATGCTATTTACAAAATCAGAGCAATGACTAAGAAAAGCAGCAAAGGAAAGGAAGTTAACAGCTTTCAAGCATCTCCCACAGAATTGTTACACTTTCTTTAGATCATATAAATTACATTTTTCAGAGTCGAGAAAGCTATGGCAACATGCTTCTAATAAACAGAAGAAATACATTTAGTTCCAGCACATTGAATTTATACCAGCAAACATGACGACGAAAAAATGGCTTACCATGCAGCTTTACAGACCAAAACATTTTTTTACAAGAGTAGCTTTCCCCAACTACTCTTAAAAATTAAAAAATTTAGATATCTCATTAAAAATTATTCTGACATATAGCTAATGCATAAAATTAATTAGGAAATAAAGAAGTGCAGTAATTACTCTCTGTTTCAAGTGTAAAATTCATGCAAATAATGGATTACAAGCTTTGCTGTTTATGAACATTGGGCAAGAAAGGATCTATAGATTTTTACAGCTCTTCAGATTTGTCTTCTGCCTGTCTTCTATGCAAGACTAAAATTAGGGTAGTCTGCAATGCCCTTAATGAGCTTGGTACTATTATTGTAAGCAGCTAAGGCAGACACCTCAGCCTTTACAGAGGTTAAAATATCTAACAGCATGTCCATTTGCAAGAATAAGACCTTATGCTATCTACAGTCCAGAACTATTAATTCATTTCTCAGAATGGCATTATGAGAAAGCAGACCTTTAAACAGTTTAAACAGTTGAAGTAACTTTTAAAAGGGCTGGATAAAAAGGTAAGCCTGTGAGCTTACTCTTTCTAGGTTTCTCTTTTAAAAAGAAGTATGACCAGTGTAATAAAAATTAGACTATAATTGTTCCATTATTAGAAGCTTGTCAACTTGTGGCTTGTAAAGCCACTGTCCACAGTAAGATCAAGACAAAATGAAATATTATTAAATACAATAATCTACTGCATGTTAATTTTGTTATACTATTATGCTGTATATGGTGAAAACCCATTGAAAAAACAAGTAAAAGTCAAGGTGCTCTACTGTGTTATTTAAATGGATTAATATATTTTTGGAGAAGAAAATAAAGTAATTTAAGTAATCTGAGGAGCCTATTGATGCCAGACATATAATCAGATCCAAGCAAATGCTGCACAAGAATAGTTAGACAGACCTGTTTGCTGGAGATCTGGAGCAGGACAGAGCTGCCCAGTATTATGGGCAGGGAAGTTACTTTGGTATAAAAAAGTAATCACCTGCCAGTTGATGGGTTTCTACATTAACCTTTAAAACTACACTATTTCCTCTATAAATGGTTGCAGTTGTAGAAAAACACATGTGGAGTTACTGTAGTACTAATAGTTCCGCATGTAAGTAAACCATTATGTTTCTCCATGCCAATTAGGACTAACATGCTGTGGTTTAGGCTGGAATATTTAGGATTTTATTCCTTGACAGTATTAGAGCTTTTTGAAAGAGGAATCTGGTATGCTTTTGAAGTGTACATTCTTTTCCACATCACTATGCCCAATTTTCAAAACAAAATCTCATGTTTTTCCAATTATATTGTTACCTAGCAGACACATGGACCTCTGTTTCTTGAGCCAGGTAAGACTGGTGACTTTTGTCCACGTTCGCTCTTCTTAGTTTTGCTTGCTGTCTACAGAAAATTGCCCCTGTCCTTCACAGATAAGTAGTAAGTGAGGTTTATTTCTTGTTTTTTAAGAGAAGCTGTAAATACCACCACTCTCACATTCTGATGTGGAACATTTTAAGGTGTTTTTTTTTTTTCTTTTAGGCAAACTAAACTCAAGCATGTCTTTTAGCTGGGGAGCTCGAAACTAAATCCAGAACTATTTCAGCTCTGATCCAACATGCTTCTCCACAGAGACAGGTTCCTGTGCCGAAACAAATCATAAGGCCGTGAAAAGGCATAAGGACACCGAACAAACCTGCCTACAGCAGTCAGTGGCACTCGAGTGCCAAGAAGAGGTGCGACGGTTGTCTATTATTTTACCCATCAAGCCCAACATCAGGTAGAAAATACGGATCCCTCAATATAGAAAGAAATACATTATTTCGTTCCCCCACAGAATCATGTTTTACCGGATCAAATATATGTTCCCTGTAGACAAGCAGAAACACAGCAGAACGCAACAGATCGGTACAGCCAGAGTTATCAAAAAGCCACGGTATTTATTTTGCTGGAAGGGTGCCTGGACTAGCGATGCAGACTGTAGAACACTTGGCTGTGTGCAGCGCCGGGGAGACGCAGGAACTGACCCATGGCACAGATGGCAAGGGCGGCCGCCCGCCGCGAACACCC